ATCACAAAAAGGGTATGGCCAGGTGATAAGAGAACGGGGTTAAATGGGGGGAAGGGTGAGAATGTGATTGGTGTGATATTGCCGAGGCGATACATTGACGGGACCTTGTTACGACGTGGAACTTGGCGTGTCAACAATAGTAGTCTTTCCTCACCACTATTAGCCGGGGAAAGCAATGCACAGTTCAAAATATGCCTGATTTAGTCTGATATCAAATGTGTGAGCTGGTTTGCATAATTACAGTGCAGCATCCGTTTAAGTTGGCTGGGCCCAGGTGGCTAGTATACGGATTGTATCACTAGTATACTTCATAAAGAGGTAAGATAATGCGAGACGTGAATGCAAGCAGCGTCCAAGGCAAATTCTCTTTTGTGATGCTGCCGGTGATTGTTGCATTTATACGTTTAATCAAATCGTGCATCTACCGTGATTTGTTTGTGACTTATCGATCAAATGGTAGCGTCTCAAATACTTGTAATACTATATATAATCGATCCAAATAGAACACGTACATTGTACGAGCTGAATCGGCGGGTCATATACACATATATAGCGTGATATATAGAAAACTGTATGTCAAAGACAGATTGAAGCGAATACAATACTATCGCAACGACGATAAAACTTGAAAATGCAAACAGCGAAATACTAGCTTACTTAGAGCTATTAACGGTACGTCACCAAGCCGCATTGTCGTACATTTCACAGCCAAGTGCCGGCCTACGACTGAGAAATACGCGATGCATTGCAGAGCCTTTCCCAGCTACGAACGAGACAGCGTAGAACTGTGCACTGTAGCGTATTTTCAAACAAAATACAGACATACAACTGATAACAGCACCATACATTGCGGTGAATATTCCAGCAAAGTGCCGCCCTACCACGTAAAACAGCACTATATGCGTTACAGCACATTTCCCAGCCAACATGCCGGCCTGCTACGATTGAGAGTAGTCGGGCAATGTCAACTGATTCAAAGTCATCGACTGATGATGTCATGTTCAAAGATGGATTAAAAGCAAGGACCAGGGACATGGAATGAACACCGCATGTATCTAGATTGCGATCGACGACCGGATATAATCACTGGTTTAAGCAGATATCTTATTATCAGATTATCAGTCGTTTCACTATTGTATGTATTAGCTACTTCCTATCACTCATTCAAACGATCGTGTCTTCTCGAAAAGAAAAATTCTTATCCAGCATTTGTTATACCGATCTAATCAATGAGTGACTTTGGACGGAATCTGACGTCGCCTTATTTTACATACTTATAATAAATGACTCAGTCGCACAAATCATCGGGAGATTGTGCCGAGAATAACAAAAAGTGGGGCGTACACAACGGGTACTTTTCAACTTTCCTGACACTTTCAATTAAAATACCGACAGTAAACAAACACGATGTGCACACGAGTTCAATTAGCATGCGTATATACCACACGGACGGGAAAATAATATTTTCGTTGTTCAGGCACATAGGCGTATCCGTTTTGACAGGCACACTTTTTATTTATAAGTTGGTCGTAAAGGTTGTGACCCCGCACTTGTTCATGCCTCCCACGACGATTGGCGGTGTTAAATATGATAACCATATATCATAACCTGTTAGAATTATACTTGTTTATTATTAATTTGCGTCGTTCGTAATTTGAAAGGTCATTTCTTCCGTTTGATCCCGTGTGTTCCTGTGTTGGCAAGCTATTCACACCCTCCCTTCTCTATACTTTCGTATTTTAATACTTAGCATTATTTTCAGTGCTAGATTACTCATACGTCTGATTGCTGATAGATAAGAAATGGCTGGGAAATGAGTAAGTCATCTCATAGCAGAAACTTAGTTTCACTCATCTCATGTGACGTCACCTCACGTGATAAGTCGTTGTGAAATTCATCATGATATCGCGTCTCCACCCCACTTCAATTCAAGTACCTTGCTGATAGCATCTTTGTTGTCGCATTTCCAATATCTGATGTTGATTTCATACTGTACGATGTGCGTTTTAGCGTATGGACAACACAAATGTGGTGTAATAAACAATAAGACAGTGTGTAAATATAAAATTAGTAACAACTCACACTTCAAATAAGATTTCATTGAGCTACCAATTATTCTATTGACACAAGCGGGAGATATAAACCCGCAAAAAAATGCAACGAGTTCCCGCCCTTTTTATTGTGAACTATTTCTAATTATTCGCGATGTCTCAATATACGAGTCGTAATCCCGATTATCGAGGAAACAAATCAATGTTACAATTGACAGTGTATTTATCTTTTCAGAATGTTGACTTGAAAAGAGATAACAAACAGCCTTCAAATAATACGAAATCCACAAGGGGAAACAGGCTTTAGATCAAGTGGAAAATGTTAATAAAGTCACAATGCTTTCAGATTACGAGCCTTTTCAACTTTCAGGTGCCTTGCTCGACATAGGCCCATTTTATCCTATTCTACTTTATCGAAGTATAAATAAATATTTAAACCCCTACAATTAGCGCTACTGAAATATTTATAAAGTAAAGGGATATGTTATAAATATAAATTACTATGGCTATCTATAACACTGCTCCTACTGTATACACGGCCGCCGAGATAACGAGTTATTCTCCCAGGATTGAGCGGCAAATGGACGCTCTCCCGTCTGCACTTACTTTATAACGTGCGTTTGCTTGAGTAGGTAACTTTAAAATTATCGCTTAAAGTAATCAGAAAGTTTGAACGTAGAATCGAACATGCCGTACATACAGGGTGATTAACCTCAACTAAATAGAAAATCTGACGGAGAAACAGATTGGAGAGCGGGCGCCCCTGGTGGACATTCCCGTCTCAATCGTTACTTCACTCGGATTAAACGTGTACGCCTTTAACGAGATTAAATGGGATGTTCGAGATATGGAATCCCATTGTAAACTACGAATCACCATGGGAACTCGGGAGATCTGGGTAACTGCATGAGGCAGGCGGAGGGAACGGGCGAAGAGCGGGAAAAAGTCCGCCAGTAAGAGCATCGCATACAGCGGCAAGAAAAGAAATACGATATTGTCAGACAGCGGATATGTAATATAAACGAAGATCATGAAGAAATGTTTGAAATTGAGCTGGTTATCGGAATTCCCTCAGAATTGCTCATTGTGTATATTGCTAGAATATACATACAAAAACAGGATTTATCACTGTTAAAGTGAGCTCTCGCAGCCCGGCAAGAACAAACACAAAATCTAGTCATATTGTGATTATGTTGAAGGAGTTTCGCGCTTTTGAGCAATTTTTATTGTTGAACTAGTGGTCTCAAACGGGCGACGTCAAAAGCATTTACAATTTCTTCGTCATGGTACGGGAGACAATGATAATACGGTGGATAAGGGACTCTATCTACGCTAGAAGTACGTCAGCATGTCACATATATAGTTCCAACAACGTAATAAAAAAATGCCCGATTTAAAATGAAATGTACACACTGCTCGATCATTACGTCAGTAAATGTATTTCTCCCCACAGATACTGACAGACTACCCCACATCATATGAAGCCCAATAAAATTTAAGTTACGGCTATAAAAACCCACTTACAATTCCCACGGATACAACAAAGGCGGAAAAATGCATCAATTGCGGGAGATTTGAGTCGGAGACCATAATTTTCAAATTTGAGATGTTTTTAAAATACTTTGAAATGCAGTCAGTAAATTCCCCTGAAGGAACGAGTTCGCACCCTTGAGGATTTTATATCTATTTGTCTGAATTGAACTATAAACTATACTTTCTATATTAACCTTCTGTGGTCTCGCAGTTTACTTTCCATATCTCGTTGTCACTGCGTTCTTCGTTTCGTACACTTTTTCGGTCAAACCAAAGTAGAATATATGTCTACAACCATCTGTATATTAACTGCAATTTAATTTCACAAATTTATGAATAGTGTGTTAGATTATATTTTTTTGTAAAATTAGAGCGAAATATCCACCTTCTATAGAAATGAAATATACACACAAATCAAATCATTAAAAAATATGTGAAATATTTTACGCTTTCGTGAAAAAAAAACCTTGGCAAACTAAACGGAAAATTAGAAAATTCAAACTGATGTTACCGGGTTATTAAATGCAAATATCAATGATTTTGTGAAATGACGTCTTCATGATTGCGCCTATCTCCGTGACGTGGAGAGTATGATGGCTAATCACACGGCAACTACAGGGTTTTATTGTATGTTCAATAGCATTGTTTACTAAGCACTTATTTCCAGTGTTTCCTGAAATAGCAAAGAGATACTTATCCGCTCAGACATCTTCCTCAAATATTAGTTTTCCTCGCTCGATGAATCCGTTTTCAATCAGTCGCAATTAGTAACGATATGAAACTGCTATCGGTTGACGCAGTCTAGTTATAACACGCTGGGCTGGTCTTCTCGAGTGACAATGATAGATGGTAGACCCAAGCCGTTATTCCGTACCACCCCTAGTCTCTTCTTCACAATTCTCATTGTGTTCTACCATACACATTAACAAAGGCCATTCTAATAATTTCGCACCATTTGGGGCGATTTTAATGTATGCCGCCATTACCGTACAATGCGAATTAGAAAGTCGAAATGTTTCTAATTATACTACACTGCAACGTTTATTTTTTAATTAGTATTACGATTTAGCCGCACAAAATAATCATCCGCTGCGCCTTTGGTTGCGTATTAATACTGACTTAGAATTGGGACAATTAACTTTCATAAAATAAAAATATTGACTTGAACGAACACGATATTTCATGATAAAGAAACTATACAATATTGTTTTATTTTATTCTTGAAATTATATTAATGTAAACAAAACAATGAACTGGACACTGTAAAAATGGCAGCTTAAAACTGAAAAATATATATAAAACTGTAAAACAGTCTATGTTGATAAAGATCAATTTCGTTTGAAAAAATGCACTGAATAAGAGCTTAGTAGCGAGCTTGTTTGCTGTGATGGCAGTGGTGTAGTTAGGATTGTCTTTATATTTAAACAAAAAAATAATGTTCACATGCTTTCGTCGACATGAGAACTTCTGGTAATAGGGCAACTTTTTCTGTGATACTTGACAGCGATAAAAAACTTATCATACGAAATATATCATGATCGTGGCATTGTAACACAGATGCGACGTTCTAATGTAAAATGGGGTTTGCGAGATAACGGCTCATAAATTGACAGAAATGACTATGCGTTTTAAAGTGAGCTCATGCTAGACTCCGTCGTTAGATACTGTAGATCCAGTGAACCATTCCTCTGATATGCACACACCAGTAACAGTGTTAAGTTAGAAATTACAAAGACAAAGACGCAAGTTTAAGTGTAGCATGTAAGTAGCTGCCTTATCGCCAGTATGAGCGGGGCGTAGCACGTTGGCCGATGGCTGCTGATCTAATGTGAATTTGACGTAGAAGTCTCGATACTCATCGCTAACAAAGTGTACATATAAAATTAAACAACAACAATAATTAGCCACAATAATAATTATAATAGTAATATATGCCAAAATTCTCTGTATTTACACATTCAAAAAATAGTGTCATTTTTACACATGCTATGAGTTAGAATTGGATCAAAACCGACCTTTACAGGGCAAGCGAAGGATGGTCGCTGCATCAAAAGCGCGAACGATAGCTTTCCTGTAGATATTTCCATAAAAAAGTTACCTCATTGGAAACATGGTAGTCAATGGTTCAATAATAGTTTTAAATCTAAAAGTTCAAAGCTGTGAGTTCATCTGTTAAACTATGCCCGAGAGAGGGGGCCTTAGCGACGGCAGATGAGGGTATGGTGGCTGGTATGCTGCTAGACCTGGATATGGTGAAACGAGCGATGTTGGGGGATAATGGTTGTCACCGTGTCCGTTATCGTGATACAGAATAGGCACGCGAACCATTCTCTGCGCCGCATGAGCCATATTGGCAGCCTCAAGTTCCGCGGCAAGTTGTCGCTTCCACTTGTTTCGACGGTTTTGAAACCATATTTTGACCTGTGTTTCTGTGAGGTGTAGCGAGGCCGCCAGACCCGCTCTTTCTGAACTTGACAAGTACCGTTTCATGTCAAACGTCGACTCCAGCTGAAAAACCTGACTTCGCGAGAACACAGTTCTTGTCTTTTTCTTTCTCCTGTTTTTGTTTTCACTATTGCTTCCATTTTCGACACCATTACTTTCGTTTGTATCGCTTTCCGCATCAATGTTCTTTTTATCCTCCAGGCCTTTCTCTTCATCTTCAGTTTCTATTTTTTCTGACGAAGAGTTCCTATGTGACAGTGGAGGCGATAAAGCCGACTTCGGTGGTAATGAGTCAGGTGACGGCTGACTCCCGATACTGCTGGCTGGCGTTGCTGGTGCTGGGGGATGGACAGTGGGCGCTGACGTGTGGTGGCCTGTAACAGGAAACAATAGTATATCAGTCATGGTCGATATGTGTAAGTAAAGAAAGAGTAACGAACACTGCCACCGATCTGGGCATGCGATGTATCTAACAGTACACAGATTCCTGTTTGTTTGATTGAATTACGGCGTCAGAATAAAAGATGCGTATAAAGGATAGTGTTTTTTGGACAATATAGCAGACATTGCTACATGGTTACAAGTACTTACACTTCCACAACAAAAGGGTTCTGAATTAACAACTACTTCAATGTAACATGATTTCAATTGTACATTGTTGTAGGCCGAAGTGATGGACACTACCAGGAAGCACTGGGAAGCGTTTGGCAACGAACAGAATAACCCACCTGTTTTGAAAGGATATCGTGGAACGAGCGGTATTTATTTATTTATTTATTTATTTATTTATTTATTTCGATTATTTAAGCCAATTATCCCGAATCTATTTCAAACTAAACGAACATCTTGCTTATCACGTGTGATGTGTAAAACAATTTTGAAATAACTTTATAACAGTAATAACTTACGGTCGAATGCGTACTGAAGATACGGGTTTGCGGCAATCCACGGATACCACGGACTCGGCCGGGCTACTGCATCCACACCGTAATGTTGGGCCACTGAGGTAAATACAATGTGACCAGGGCGTTCTGCATTCGATGGCGCCTCTTCAACCGATGGTGGCCTGTCTTCCGATAAGGTGTCAGCGTGTTTCTTCTTACTGCTATCAGTACTCAGAATGCTTTGAATGGAGAATTTACTTGTCTTTGGCGAGCTCATCTCTTCCTGTTCTGTTGACATGTCTTAATCTCTATATGTCGAGTTATTCCGCTGTATCCAATGGGGACGTTACCTCTTGGTCAACGAGGGAGCGACCGATAATTCAGCAGTGATTGCTGCTTGTGATACGCCCTGAACGTTTCTTATAACAAGCAGTAAAGTTAGTCAAACAAATGTAAAAGTCTATGTATTTCTGTTACTGTAGGATAGTTTTCCGTATAAGACCACGGACGACAGTCGGTGTGGGAGACGATGAATCAAAATGCGGTGCTGTATGTCGTGGTAACTGCGAGAGACTGATGCATGTTTTCCACTGTGTGCCCCTACAACTTGTTCTATACCTTGGAGACGGAGAGAGTCGTATTGGCGCCGCTCATCTAACACGCTAATAACATATAAATACAAGTGGCGTGCAAGTTAAATGGGTGACAAGCTAATGAAGCTCTGTGATTGGCCACGGGGACGACGCAATAGGATTACAGTGAAAGCGACTCCACTGTAACCACGCCTTCTTATATGGATAACAATGCACAGAGTGGTGAAAACATACCCTTATTGGGCGAATTAGAAGAGCAATTAAAAATCAGACTTGTTGACATTTCACTATTATTACCTTTTTTACGTTGATGCAATTGGCTGTTCCAGCGCAATTTACAAATAATTGGCTTGTCATTGGACTCGCCGAGAATACCATAAAATGCTTTGTGCCTACTCAGGTAATTTCCTCCGAAATCCGAGAGCTCTTCTTTTTTCTGATATATCATAACAAAATCCTTGCTAAAATCAATTCATTACCGCTTTCTTAACCAATTATTTATGAACAGGTATAGGCTGGCAAGGCAAACCAGGTAGGTCCGTGAATTTTCAGCTCAGCTGAGCCACTTCTTTGAGCTAACCAATGTACTAGTATTAAGTATTGAGTGCTCTATGTAAATACGCAGACATTATCTTTTTTGCTTTATTTGTTTTGGCTTTCTTTAGCTAGCTAGTTATCGCAGTGGTGGGCACTTAGGTTAAATGGTTGTAAAGAATTTAGGCAGGACCACTGGCCCATCCCCCATTCAATCAATGGAGACGGCAATTAACATATACTTGGTAGATACCGGCGGACCCACAGCCTGACCGGCACCTCTATTGTCTTTGTCAACGATTGTGTCCGGCCACGGTAAACGAGCACGCACGATTGACTGAGTAGACGACTGCCTTGTCAGACAGACACTGCACTATCCGTCGTTTGTAAGGAGTGAAAAGATTCGATCGTAAATTGGTTTATTTGTCTGTGTTCACTATGGGATGGGCTTATGTGTGTCTTCATACACTACAAAAACACACACGGGCATTAATCGTGAATAGGCGAATATGGACATACGTGTGTCCCCAGCGTGACCACCCTGTTGTCGAACTGGGTGTTATCATTTTACTAACAGGTTGTGTGCTCACATGCAATAAACATTAGTAATGGGCACCCAACATATAGAATTGCACGCGCCTGATAAAAGTATCCATGCTCCCGCTATTTTTTTCCGACAAGTCACATAGGGATCCGTCGGGGAGAAACATCATTTCATCCGATGTAACGCCACCGAGAGCCGCAATCCAATTAAACGCAACCGTCGCCATGTCATGCTGACGACTCTTTGGTTGGTTTTATCACAACTTACCAAGAAATACCATGCCCGTAATCTGGAATTTGAGCGGGCGTTACAGATTGTTATTTTGTTACGAAAAAACTATTGTTGTTTGTACGTGTCTGCGACAGTTGTGTAAGCATATATTCGATGCGCACTCATGGTCGGTAAACAAACAATACTACCTTGATATCAATGCGAAGTCAATGCTTTATATGTTTTGATTAAATGTTTGTGTGCGAAATACAAGTAATACAGAAATTATTGTGCAAAATTCATTTCAAAAATATCATATTACATTTTGAAAAGCATTTAGCGCCCTCGTCCCGCAATTCTGTTTAGTTGTCAGCGTGAAAACAATTACACAAATATGAATAGTAAACGTCACAGACTGCCAACGGGCGCACGAATGGGAACAATCCCTTGTTTCTCATCGGAAAGAGCACGGAAGCTTGTCGGCATAACCACCTATAGAGGGCCGAAGTTTCGAAATTGTTATTGACGATAAAATGAATTTTATGGTTGGAGTGGTCAGACTTCATCAAAGTCGACGTCAAGATAGGCAATGCGAAGTTGCTTTAATTCAATGCCAACAATTTCCTGCAGGAGAGTTATGTTCCTACTTACGCACATGTACGATCTATTACCGAACCTTTCTCTGCATTATTGCATTACACTTTACAATATTATATTTACCGTCGAAAAGCTCTGCAAAAAGTAAACTTAGTTGGCAATCTTTATTGAAGATTGATTTGTCAATGAATAAATTTTCGACCGAATTGTAAAAAAAAAAAAAAAAAAAAATAAGCTACAACAGCTACTATCAAAACATTAGTCAACAGGTAATTGTCATTCATTTCATCCCACGAAATGAGGATAATTGTTCTGTTCTTAAGGATGGATCAAAGTCGCGATCCAGATTTGGTAAGAAAACAATCTAGTCAAGACAATACAATTCAATACAATAATTAAATTTTCCCTTAAATCTAACTAATCTAACCTGACTATCACTAAATTATTAGTTATACCTTATTTTTACCTAACCGTCACTAAATTATTAGTTATACCTTATTTTTACCTAACCGTCACTAAATTATTAGTTATACCTTATTTTTAACTAACTAACTTATCAATCTAACCTGACTGTCACTAAATTATTAGTTGTACCTTGTTTTCACCTTACCAATCTAACCTGACTGTCACTAAATTATTAGTTATACCTTATGTTTAACTAACTAATCAATCTAACCTGACTGTCACTAAATTATTAGTTATACCTTGTTTTCACCTAACCAATCTAACCCGACTGTCG